ATCGCATTCTTTGGACAATCTTTCATGAAATGACTTGATTGACCGCACCTGAAACACACATTTTGATCTCTCCAGCAGGTGGGAAGTTTGATTTTGAGCTAAGTCACTTTCGGGAAAAAAAGTTCAAATATTTAAAGTTTTGGGACAAATTCACAATTTTGCAAAATTTAGTAAGACCTTAATTAATTATGTGTAACACATCCCACCTAAACCCTATGAACTCAAAAACCCTAACCAAGTGACGTTTGTGGTTGGATTATAAAAGGAGGGGAAGCTAGGGGCAAAACTATCTTTTTGCTAGGGGAGATATTTTAAAACCCCAATTTCTCTCATCTTTTCCTCATTCTCTCATTCCCTTCCATCGTGTTTCCCCCCTCAAAGCACCAAGTTTTCTTTTTCTTCTCTTTTCCATTTGAGAGACCAAGAGAGGGCGGGGGAGCGCCATTACTTTCATCCTCACCATTTCAACCTTTAGAAACTAAGGAAACCATCAGGAAAAATCACCCCTTCCCTTATGTTTGGGGTGCTACATAGGACTAGAACAAGAAAAGAGTTCTCTCACTCTTGGGGCTTGTAAATCTTCCCTTTTCTTATCCTTGGGGTATTAGAGGTAAGGAAATATACTTTTCTCTTGTGTTTCCTTGAAATTTATAGTTTAGGTGTAACACTCAGCCACTTCAAGAATCAATGACTATCCCTACATATTAACATGAGACTTTTCAGTATGCTTTTTCCTCACTCGCACACTTCCTGAGAAAACTTCCAAGGAGGTCACCCATCCCAGAATTGCTCCAAGTCAAACACGCTTAACTATGGAGTTCTTCCGTTCTGGGCTACCGAAAAGTAGATGCATCTTGTTAGTATAGATAGTACCAATTAATTCTTATAAGCTATCCTCAACTGTACCATCCCATATCGGCACAGTCTCAGGAATCCCTCTCTTTCGGGTGTTGATTTGTTTCATTCATGTACCCCCGCCGCTGGAAGCCTGCCAGGAGCCGCTCCTTGTCTATGCCCTTGCGCACAGGCGATCACTCCCCACCCTCATCAATGCCTGGGATGTTACATGCCCACCAGCTTCCGCCTGGTTCATCCTCGAACCACATCGTACTGGAAGAAAAGCCTGATCTGATACCATTTGTAACGCCCGGCCGCTTCAAGAATCAATGATTATCCCCACATACTAACACGAGACTTTTCAGTGTGCTTTTTCCTCACTCGCACACTTCCTGGGAAAACTTCCCAGGAGGTCACCCATCCCAAAATTGATCCAAGTCAAGCACACTTAACTATGGAGTTCTTTTGTTCCGGGCTACCGAAAAGTAAATGCATCTTGTTAGTATAGGTATTACCAATTAATTCTTATAAGCTATCCTCAACTGTACCGTCCTATACCTGCATAGTCTCAGGAATCTCTCTCTTTCGGGTGTTGATTTGATTCATTCATGTACCCACGCCGCTGGAAGCCTGCCAGGAGCCGCTCCTTGTCTGTGCCCTTGCGCATCGGAGATCGCTCCCCGCCCTCGTCAACGCCCGGGATGTTACATTAGGATTTTGTAGATTTAGGGGTTTTGGTATTATGAGGTGTATGTGTGTTAAAATTAATGTCTTAATCTTATGCATGTGGTGTAGGAGTATTAAAGGTAGTGGTGATTTTGTGTTGGAATCGCTAATGGAGCCAACGTTGGGCTATGGTTCCAATTTTGGCATTTCAAGAATTGCGATTAAGTTTCATTCCTTGATTATTGATGAGTTGAGACATGAACTTGATAAATTCATGGATGAAATATATTGTTGATTGAGTTGATTGCTTATAATAGATGTTGTTTGGTGACCTTTTGTAATTATTACTTTGGTTGAAACATAGGAGGAGTTTTGGAATCAATCATAGGAGTGGTAAATTCTCGAACCATTAGATTAGTCTCACTTGGTGTTTCACCACACTCTTTGGGAGTATTGGCTAATTGGATGAATGATTGGTTGTTGTTAGAACAATGGTATACTTGCATTCATATAGAATTATTATGCATTAGTGTAAGGACCAATGTACAAGCACTAAAGGCTTGATTGTATGATTAATGTATAGACTAATATGCAATTGGGTGTTTAATATAATGTGCTTGGTTGTTTTAGCCATTATATTGTGAGATCATTGAGTATGTTCTTTGATTAGTAGAATATGTGTGTGAACTTCCCTTTAGGGATGTTTCCTAAGAGGTATGACTCTTGGAAGCTCCACACGGATACTCATTTTGAGGTATGACTCATTAGAGTGGTCCTAGTGTACCGGGTACATAGGTTTAATCAATTCATTATTGCCTCTATTTATATGCTTTGTATTATGCCATGTGTTCTAACCTTTCATGCTGGAAACTGAAGTCAAGGGTGGAGCGATCCTCCAAGGACCCTAAGTTTATTGAGATTCGTATCTCACCCCGTTTGGGGATAATATTTTAGGTTCCCAAGGTGAAGGAGCTAGTACTTCAAAGGAGAAGGAGCCCATGAAGAATCCATGGAGCATTTATTTTGTAACTTGGCATTTTTCGATGATTATATAATAGGACCTTGCTAGAAATTATATTTTGGAATACAATCATGTATATGTTATATATTTGGTCCTTACTTGTATATATTGAGAATTGTAAGCCAAGTGTTGTGAGGCATGGATGTATGAGACTAGTTATGTCTAAGTTTGATGTATATGTGAATTTTAATGATGGCTTGTGTTCAAAGATGGTGAGTCATGTATGTTTTGAGTACATAGGATGAATCCATGGATGGACTTCATTTGAGATGTTGATTTATGTTTTGATTCAGGTGTATGATTTGTTGGAAGGTCAATTAGGTGGGAGAAAACCTTGGTGTGTGACCAAAAGTGAGTATATACTCAAAATTAGGACCTTTTAGTGGTGAAGGAGCGTGCTAAAATGCGTTTACAAGTGCTAAAGTGCTCAAAAGAGCAAAAAAGCTCGAGTTGAGCGCGCTATTGGACTACTAAAGTGCACTCTAAGGGCGTTAAAGTGCGATAATTAGGTAGTAAGATACCTTTTGCATGCGCTAAGCCGCGTTGCAGGGTGCTTTAGCACTTTGCTTTTGGAGTTTTCCCACTTCAATTACACCTCTAATCTTATGTGAATCACTTGGTATGAGGGTGGGACCATAGATAGGACCTTCCCAACTAAATTAATCTCCATAACTTAGGGTTGGAGGTCAAGTGTTTGATGAACCAACATATTCTTGTAAAAAGAAAAAGTTTACTCACATCTTTTCTAATGTTATCAATTCTTTGAAATAACTAAGGCAAGCATTATGCTTAAGGATTAACCAAATGCATGTTAACTATTAATTAGTTGTGCTTAATGCCATAAATGAGTTAATACAACGGGTGCACACGAGGCGTTACACCTAACTTCCTTTTTGGGTGTAACATATTGATATAGGAGTATAAAAGTCCGTAACTATATGTAGTGTTTATGACTTTGGGCTTGTAAGCCATTGACTTTATTTGTATTTTTCTTGGCATCCTTAGAATTTATCATTGTAGGCCGCAAATGCTATATGACTACGACTTATGGTGTTACAATATTATTCTTTAGACTATGCTTTTATCTCTTTATTTTAAATTTATATAAAGAAAATAAATTTTAAATAAAGTAAGTAATCTGGTATACTCTATAAACGAGTTATAGATAATATTACAATTTGTAAAAAATAAAATAAAATTGTAACACTCGATTCACCTCATCTTTTGAGTATAAAAGCCACATCACTAAAATGTTTGAATATTTATTTGGATTACCCAATTACAATAAAAACATAGTGCTGAAATAAGGTCTACAACAATAATAATAATAATAAAAGGAGTCTTCAATTAAGAGAAAAGACAAAATCTTCATTGTCATATTTAAATTTAGACCCATGTAACCAATACAAATTATTTGGGAATGATCTTCACATTTTTTTCCTTCAAAACATGACTATGTCAAAGTCTCAATTATTCATTGATATATAATGATTAGCAATTAAGAATGACATTTCTTATTTTTCATCTCAACCGTTAATTTATATTCATCTAACGACTATAGTTTATTGAGTTATATGAATTAATTAATTATTAATTTCAAATAAATGACACCCATTAGATGGACAGAAATCAATGGTTAAGATTGAGAGTAAGACTTTTAAGATTTACATCGGAGTCAAAAGATCTCTCCCTATATATATATATATATATATGGAAAAAATATTTCTCAAACAACTTAAGATATGTTTATCTCCGGCCACCCTAAAACTACGTCATTTTATTTATTTATTTTCTTATATTAATTGTTTTACCTTTGAATGGTTATGATTCCCTTTTTCTCTCTCTTCCTTTATCACCATTGATCCATCTTTGTACAATTATGATTTAGTAGCCGGAGATAAAATTATCTCAAGCAGCTTGAGAAACGATAAGCCCTATATATATATATATATATATATATATATATATATATATATATATATATATGCAAAATGATTTGTAATGTGACTGCATATAAACATTGGTGTCAAATTTGACGTTTGACACCTCATCTGAGAGCCGTTAGATCAAAAAAAGATCAACGACTCTTATTTGTAAGCATGTGACACCATTGATCTTTTTAAATCTAACAGCTCTCAAATGAGGTGTCAAGCTTCAAATTTGACACCGGTGTCAAAGGATCCTACCCCATATATATATATATATATATATATATATATATATATATATATATATATATATATATTACATCGATGCAAGAATAAGAAATTTTATATCAAATATTGATCATGAATTTGCTCAGATCTAATGTCTCTCATATGTAATGAATCATAGCCACTAGATATAAATAGGATTAACAACTATAATTGAGAATATAACTTTTAGCTGCTATATATATATATATATATATATATATATATAATTTGACTATTTCCATCTAAAGAAAATAATAAGGCCAGTCGAGTGCCACGGCACCGCGGGTTATATCCTGTTGTGGGAATTGGGAAGGTAAGCATAAACCGTCTAAAACCCAAAAAGGTGAAAATCGAGGAAGCAGCAACATCAACAACATAGATATCAAATGCGCTTCTCACTCTCACTCTCAGCCAACACTATGCGTCCTCATCTATTCTCTCTCTCACCCAACCCTATCTTACTGCGCCAACCTCTTCCCCTTTTGGTTCACCGTTACAAATCCATTCTCTCTCGAACTGCTCCTAACCCTATATTGCTTCTCAGATCGACGTCTTATTCACATACTCTCGTAGGCAATATGGGTCTTCGTAGAATTGACAGTTTATTCACCATGAGTTCTGTTCGCAAGTTTAGTACACGCGCCACACATGTCAACGACGCTGGCTCTATTGACTTGCCTCTCATACAGTCCATGGAGAAAAAGGTATCGTATTGTTTCATTTGTTACTATTATTCAGAAAATTACTACTAATAAAAAAAAACACTCTTCGCTAAACCTCCACCGAGGTTGGGGTCACGACAATACTTGTATACAGATGAAAGACATAAGTGTAAGGACGCTATTTTGAAAGTGGCTACTGCCATTCTGAAGATAAAATTATTGGTTTTCTCTCTTAATTGTTGTAATTTCTCAAAATAGCTTAGCATGCGCTGAGCAGTGAGGAGGTTAGAATAATATTTTTCTCCCACATATTTTACTAGTCCACTGCTAATTTTTTTTTTTTCATGCTTTGGTATATAAATTTCTTTATAGAGGGCTATTCTAGAGCAGTAGTAAAATTGTTTGTTTGTGAGTGAAAAGCTATGTTGCACGGGACACTATAGTCCGACACCTTGATTCTAAAAAAAATGATAGATTTTGACAGGTTAGGGCATTTTTTGATATCAAATAATATTTTTAATTTATGTAGTGTATTTAATAAAAAAAAATGAAGCTAAACTTATGATACTCATCAATTTTGCAAAGAAACATAAGATATCAGAAATATTTATATTAAATTAAATAAAATGGTAATTATAATCCAGTGAATCTAATAGTTGGACTTGGAACTAAAAACGCAACGTAACGCAACTTTTAAATCTTTTTTTAAGTCTTTGCAACATGGGTATCAGAGTGTCGGAGAGTGTCGGACACGACACATCAAGCTTTTTGAAGTGTCTTTTGAAGTGTCTGTGCATTATAAGTAGAAAGTGACCGGTTCGAATTGGAAAATAACTTGTTTTGTAAATATATAAGAGTAAGGCTATTTATAAGAATTGCCTTCACCCCTCACCCCTATCTTCTTTAGTTAGTCTGGGTTTACTGGAAAGTGGTTTTTGGTATATAAATTTCTTTCTTGCTCTTTGAATGTCAATTTGCATCTTGCTTCAACAGATAAAGGAACAACTGAATGCAGAATCGGTCACCGTAAAAGATGCTTATAGTGATGGTCGGCATGTGAGGTGAACATCTTTTTAACCATTGGATTGATATCAACTGACTTCAAGAAGAATGTATGCATTTCTTTATTGGTTAATAGGAAAATTTAATACTTAGCCAACTTAACAACAATAAGTTCACAAAATATCATGTAAAGGGTAAACTGGTAAACTATGTATTAGTAATCCTTACAACAAGAACAAGTTTGATATAAATATAATCAAAGAAGCCCACTTAAAGATTGAAGAATCATAAATCCTTTTAGGCCTCCCTGTAGACTGTTTTTTCCTTTTGAAGATTGTTCTGTTTCTTTCTTAAGATCTCAATGTTATTTGATTTCAGGGTCACTTTCTCATGAATGATGAAAAGTTGGGCTTTTAAGCTTTCTAGATCATGACAAAACACTGGCTATGACACATTTAAGAAATAATTAACCTATTTGTATACTTTTAGGTTTTGTGTCTTAGAATTTGATTAAAATACTCTGTTGATTAAAGAAGAAATTCTGTTAGAGAGTAAACACAAGTAGGGGGAGGATAAAATATCCTCCAAAACATAGAAACTAAATGACAACAAAGTGCTAAAGAGGCTCAAAGTGCAATAAAATAATAAATCTTTCTAATCTCTTTATCAGAAATGTAAACTCCCTTAAAACAGATGAAGAACAGAGCACAAGTGAAAATCCATAAATGCAATACTACCAAATTACATTCTTGGTGGCCAAGAGAAGTAATACAGTCTCGATAAAACAGTATCCTGCAAAGGAAACTCCAAAAGTGAAGCTCCATGTATTATTGAATTAAAAAAAAAAAGGAAAATTAGATATAGAGAATAAGGATTTACCTAGAAGGGTCCTCCTTCCCCGAGCCAAGGTTTTCCCTACAGATGGAGAAAAGTTCTCCCCTGTCCAAGTAATAGAGTAGCAAGAAACAACCTAAATGCTTTTCTCTCCTCTCCCCATTCCCAAAGGTCATGACTCATAAGGCTCGTGGCATAACTAACTCACAAGACACATTTAATAGCACAAGGTGGCAACTTATCACGAACTGGATAAAGACCGTTGACAAAACAAGTACTTCTAAACACCCAAAGTGGAACATGATATGTGGGATGTTTGGAATCTAACAACAAAAAAGGAACTTGATTTATTGAGAACAGATGATAGCATATGTTTGATTAAATATCAAGCAGTCTAGACAACTTACCAAACTAATTCTGAATTTCAGTTAGAAATACTTGATTCAAACCTGTCTTTCATAAAGAATAACCAAGTACACTGTGAGAAATCATCAATGAGGGTAACAAAATACTTAAGACCAAAGGGTGAGGAGACACGAATTCGATCACATATATCAGAATGAATGACAGATAAATTAGATTCAATTTGACTCTTGAGCTGACTGGAAAGGAAGTCTAAACATGTTTCCCAAGTTGACACGACTCATAGTTTAAAGACTTTTAAGTTGGCAAGACTTGAACCATTTGTTGAAGTTTTGAGAGACTTGGATGACCAAGATGCTGATGGAGGAGACTGGGAGATTCCGTAGCAGGACATAGATGTAGTGGGTGAAACATGACCAATTTCTTGGGCAGACACTTTTTTATGGATACATTGGGCAGACACTTTAGAATCATCAGGTAAAATGACAAAATGATAAAAGGAAAGTAGAGAGAGAGAGAAGAAAAAATTGATTGATTACTGATTATTTGGTCAAAGGCATATGTGTACAACAACCCATCCGCATTGCACATATCCTCAAACCTAGTCTTTCATGAATGGACCTAGTACATTAAGATTGATTTCTATTTTGTCCAAGAGAAGATTCAGTCTAGGAAGACCTAAAAATATTTATTAACTCTCATGATCAACTTGCATATAACTTCACTAAGCCTCTTAGAGGACCCCAAGTCAACTATATGTGACAAGCTTAGCATGTATGATATATACACACCAACTTGAGTGGGAGTAGTAGAATATATGATTATATTGTTATAATATCTGATTAGGATATGTGTATCATAAGAGATATGTGTATCATAAGAGATCATGTATAGAATCAATTAGAGGATAGTGTAAACAAGGAAAGAAATCCTTGTAATTATCTTCTCTCTATTATATATAGAAACCTTGGTTTGTCTGATTAGAAATGCAATTTCCCTCAATGTTCAAGTGGACTCAAAAACTCGAGTCCACTTATTGTGGTAAGGGTGTCTTAGCTTATTGATGGGGGTCTCCCTTATCTAACATGAAGGTGTAATGGATTGAAAATGATTATTTAGGGGAGATTAGTTAGAGGAGAGAGGGGGAGAATGATTATTCTCTTGTTCAGTAGTAATCTGAGGGCAGAGCTGTATTCTGTGTAGTAGCTTTGCTCTGGTAAAGTAATAGTGCAGTAGCTATCTTTTACTCCTGTTTTTTTCCTTCTTTGGTAACCCCTTTATGCCTTAAAGCTTACGTAAAATGCAATAAAATGTCCTTCTGTTTTACTCTCTATTGTTGGGTTCGGAACACCTAAAGTTTGAATGCACTCTATATTGTTGGGTTCCTAACACAGTTTGAATGCACAAGTGAGTTGGACTTATAGTATCTGTTTATACTGTTTGTACTACTCTGTCTACATGGAGAGTACAGCTGTAGTAACAACTATTAGTTTAGCTGTCTACACATTATTTTTTTTCTTTATATAAAAAGGAAATAAAAAAAGACATGAAAAGTAATAGGAATTTGGAGGATAATGGATTCTCCATGTCAGAAAACGGGAAAACCAAACATCTGAGAGAAATGATCACTGGAGCAAAGTTGCCCATTCCCTCTGCATATTTATTAAGGAAACTAGAAAGGCCATCTGTTTTACACCAAATAAAAACCATTGCTTAATCCTATCACAAGTCTTAGCCATTGAAACATCCTTAAATGTATTTTACGCCACAATCAAATGCACCAAATGGTAGCTTAGGTGGCACATTACATGTGATATTTACATTATTTAACACTCCCCTCCAAGTTTGAGCGTAAGTATCATATGCAGCATGGTTGTTACATGTACAACTAATTGGAGGACCTCAGAGGTATTTAGTGAATATGTTTTATAGCTGGTCATTTGAATTGACAAAGCTAGGAGCAATATATCTGGAAAGTATCTTCTATCATTTAAAAATAGTCACCTCAATGTGTTTGTTCTTGCATGACAACTACTAAATTGGGGACTGTCTGTTCCTCACAAATCAGTTGCAGATGTCATTTTCTCCAATGTTTGAGGATGAAATTGAATGCCACCAAAAATAAATCTAGCTGCAAACTGAAAATTGAAACATTTTCGAACACACTTTTGCATGTATCCTCTTTGATAAAAGTTGTCCTTCAGGTAAGGTGCCATGTTTTGTATTAATAGTTGCATTTGACACCGACGATATTGCTTGGCTGGGACATAGCTTTAATATGTGGTTTGGTTTTGCAGCATTGACGTTGTATCTGATGCTTTTGAGGGACAATCAGCCGTAAATAGGCAGAGGATGGTTTATAAAGCCATATGGGAAGAGCTTCAGAGTACAGTTCATGCAGTTGATCAGATGACTACCAGCACTCCTGTTGAAGCAGCCGCACGAAATGACAAAAGATCATGAGAACACATGTTCACTGCTTATGTACGAGAGTGACTAGGAGTACTAGTGCTCTTATATGTTTGTATTGCTGTTGTCTTGGAATGAATTCCTAATCTTAAAGTACCATTACGGTAGGATTCACATTCAACTGGACACCAGTTTTCAATTTGACAAACTGAGAGATTCTAAATTCATTTCACATTGTATGATTAAATATTTTACCATGTATGTATCATCCAATGGTTAATATTTGCGTCTCTCACCTCTTACGTCATTATATAGTAAAACTCATTTCATGGCATTTTCATTGTAATGACAAGAAAATAATTTTGTTGATCTAGTTAGTAAATGTTGGTACATAGTAATTGTCTTTTTTCTGTATTGTACGTCACTTCTGGCGTTTCTGTTGACGATTTCAATTGGTGTAAATAGCACACAAATATTTCAGCCCATTTTACAAACATGGCTAAGCATCTATAGTTTCGTGTGAGTTATGAAGAGTTCAGGTTTGAAACTAAGGAATCAGTGGAGCCATTAGCAGGTACCCTTGCTTTATACTATGCATAAAACTTGCTTGACTCAAGAAGAGGAAGCTGAAAATTGTGGTACCTGCCAAATGCTTCCCCTCTTATCACATTGTCATGAACATGATTGCGTTTCAGTGCATGAACAAAAGTATTATCGTCTGGTATCACTGCTGTTTTTAGCACTGTATCAGGAAGACAGGTCCACCCTCATCTTACAACTTGGGCATTGACCAATTTATTCCCCCATAATTTCACGCATAACACTGGCAGTTGTGATTCACAATACATAAAATGGACCAAAGTATACATTGTCATGTTACTATCTGTGAGTTGAATCAACTTTTCTTCCTTGATTTTCATGAATTATACACAAATCTTAGATTTATAAATTGCTATACATTCTAAAGTTCTACCATGTGAAAAACCAGCCATGTATATCCCCCTTGCTGCAATTCTGATTCCGGCATAAAGGTCACCATAAGAAGATGAATAACAATGCTTCGATATAGCTTGCATCTCTTTTCATGCACACATACTTTCACTATTTTGATGAAAAATAAATAAATACCCTCCCAAAGAATTGGTAGGTCATTTTTGAAATTTGTTTCTTGCAACTGTTGCAATACTAATTAATGGAAGGTAGTATTGGATTCATCCCAAGTCCAGACTCTCCAAAACTACCTGGTTCTGCATGCTTCACCCTACCAAAGTGTCGTATATGACGCAGAACTCTTGCTAAGAAGGTATTGTGGCATATAGTTGAGCTGTCACAAACCACAGCTAAATGTTTGCGTGCTCTTGTGATGGCAACATTGATTCTTCTGCTATCCCCAAGGAATCCAACAGCTCCCAATGTGTTTGAACGTACCTATTTTATTATTATTATTATTATTTTATGAAAAGGGGAAAACAATTAGTTCATCAACAAGATCAGTAATGGATAAATATTTTAACTATGTATATGTAAAGGTTGGATAATCAAAATGGTAGTAATGGATCATGTAACTCATCAAACATTAAGGAAGCACGGTTACATATCATCCCAATTGCAGAAGTTACTAATAAACAAGTAAAAATGAGAGATAATGAATTAGTAGAGGACATCATAGAAGCAAGGTAGTCACAATATCGATGTTAAAGGAGTGATCAATGCTTTATTTACAGAATCAAAATGAAAGGGTGGTTCATGCAGTTACAACTATAGTCATAACTCCCGAGGGTAGAGTAATAATTTCAAAATTTAAGAGCTTGATGATAATAATTTCAACATACATTTAAGGCTGTATTATGAAAATGTTTGAACTTTCTCTCTTTAACAGGAGATGATATCTTATTGTCTTCTCTCAAACATTTATTTTTCAAGTAATAAATTTATTATTTATCAACCAGAAAATTGTTTAAACGAGGCATCTAAAGATTAAATTCAGTTCATACCATGGACAAAATTACTGCATCAGCTTCCCGACCTTGAAAACTATCAATTGTGGCAACCTCAGTACCTGCAGCTTCTGGAAACTCATCAAGCATGTTCCTCAAAAGTTGTACTTGAGCGACATAAGGGGATTGCACTACAATAGCAGTAGGGCTAACACCTGCATTTCAGATTCAAATTAATAAGGAAAATCTTATATCAGCAAACAGAAATGACAAATAAGTTGTGTCACAAGATTTCAAACTCCGAAAGACTGAGAACTAGCATTGCAAAAAAAAAAAAAAAAATGATAACATAAAATGATACGCAGTAATATATATATATTTTTTCTTGGATTAAACTGATATGCTTAAATACTAAACGGGGTTGGAAGGTGTAGAAACACTACAAGATCCTTATTTCTTTATTTCATGCACAAATTTGAATTATGCACTTCTTTGTCCAAGGTTCAGAACTATATACTAGTAGTGACAATTAGGGGTGTGCATGAGTCGAATTAAACTGAATTTTTTGAAAAACCGAACTGAATTGGTTTAAACGGTTCGGTTCGGTTTGATTCGAAAATAGTTCGATTAGATTGAAAATGGTTCGATTCGATTCCGAACCTGTTCAGGTCGACCCTATTCTGAAAAGATAAAAAAAAGTTAAAGAAATAAAGTAATAAAAATCAGTTCGGTTCGACTTGAAAACAGTTCGGTTCGAAAACGATTCGGTTCATGAACTGGTTCTTTAAAAACCGGTTCGGTTCATGAACTGGTTTTTAAAAACAAGTTATTTTAAGTGCAATTCAGTTCGGTTCAATTTTTTAGTTATTTTGCACATCTCTCGTGACAATGGCAATGCCAAACTAAATAGGCATGAAAATCACGCAAAACGACGCTAAAATCCACAAGCAGGAGTGCTGGAAACACAGCCTTTGTAAAGATTAGTATAAACTATAAAGTCAAGCTTATAGATATATCAAATATAATCATTTACTGAAGATTATTTTCTGTCAAAGTTAAAATTTCATGGGAATTATCACTGAAACATTGAACTTGAAGCTGATTTACCAAGCATATTTGAGAAGGAACAAGAATAATGATAACCGCAATACAACTATTTTGGACCACTGATGTGGCCCAGCAGCCAACTGCCAAAACGTCCCCATCGTCCCGTCAGCCTCTGCAGACTGTCATTTTGGTTGCAACCCACAGTCATGTTCCATCACCTAAAACCTTGGCTGCCCACACACAATCTGCCTCATCATCACAGTGAAGCTTCCTTGGCAAGCTTTCCCTGACTACCTGCATCTCATCCCCATGGAATGGACTCCCAGGCATTAAGTCAGTGGTTCACCTCTCCAATCACTACAAAGGCTCAGCCCTTAGGTACTTACCTTCCTCTTATTTACATACTCAACCTCATTCATCTATTGACTTGAGAGTCCTTGCGAATGCACCACCACCTCTTGTCCACCAAAGCATGCGGAGGAGCCTCCCTCAACTATATTCAACCATCGTCAGAAAGACTTGGAAGTAACACCTTAACCTATCTCACTAATCCAAACAAACATTAGCACAGTCTATGGGAATAGATGAGCATCCACTCCCACACTTATACATGGTAAGCCACAAACAAAAACCAAAACTAAATATGAGAAGTAACACTTATACCTGCGTCTCATCCCCATGGAATGAACTCACAGGCATTAAGTCAATGGCTCACCTCTCTTATCACTACAAAGGCTCAGCCCTTAGGTACTTACTTTCCTTTTATGTATACTTACTTTCCTTTTATTTACATACTCAACCTCATTCATCTATTGACTTGAGCATTAGACTCTTTGCAAGTGCAACACCACCTCTTGTCCACCAGAGAATGCGGAGGAGCCTCCCTCAACTATCTTCAACCATCGTTCAAAAGACTTGAAAGTAACACCTTACCCTATCTCGCTAATCCAGACAAAACATTAGCACAGTCTATGGGAAGAAATGAGTTTCCACTCCCACACTTATAGATGGTAAGAACGAGGAAGACAACCACAAACAAAAACCAAAACCAAGAATCTGTAGGGAAGGGGAAGAAGCATCAATCCGAGGAGCAACAACATACACCTCGTATTGCAGGAAAACAACCATTGCCCCAACATTATCAAGAGTCGCAGAGCCCTCAAACTACAACATCATGGAGACCATCTCGCAACAGATAGACAAGCTCAATAAATAGTTGAGCTCCAGCACAGTGTCTTGGCCGAGGATCAGTGGGAGAATGATGCACAAAGGGATTAGTCTCAAAACCCGACTCCATTGGTGTTCAAGAACAAAGCTTCAAGTGTTCGTCACAACAAACTCGAACCCCATAATCAAGACATGCCACATATTATGTCGAGGCATTCGACCCATCCTTGCAGCTTAGTCACCCCTTCACTGAGAGTGTCATGTCGGCTCCCATCTCCTAGGGTTTCAAACAACCTAACAACATGCATTTCTTAATGGGGAGCGAGACCCATAGAAACACCTTAAAGTGTTCCAAGCCACCATACTTTTTCGGGAAGGAGCCGACTTCCTCATGTTTCAAGCCTTCTACTTAACCCCAAAAAAAGTTGCGCTTCGATGGTTCTAGTATCTTCCTTCCAACTCAGTTGAATGCTGAAACGACTTAGATGAGAACTTCTCCCCGCACTTCCCCACTAGCAAGCCCTAGCCAAGATCATCTCACACCCTATCAATGGTCAATGGTAAGGCAGAGAAGGGACAAATCCCTCTAGGACTATCTCACCCATTTGAACAAAGTTGCTGCTAGACAGGGACCCAAGAGTAGCACTCCATCTCCTTGTTGAAAGGTAGAAATCGGAACCTTTTGCCACCTCATTGGCCAATAAAAGGAGCTAGAACTATGGACAGGCTGCTCTCAAGGTGTGAGAAGTACATCCACTTAGATGATTTTGAAAGAGCCGTTAGAAGTCCCAATGAATAAGCAACCAAGCAAAAGAGGAAAGGTTGTGACAACCTCTTCCCAGGAGGGCGGGAACATGGAGATTCATCCAACTAGGAACAAGTGTGACAAATACACCCTTTAAATGCCTCCAGAGCCCAAATACTCCTCGATGTCCTAAACACAAGTTCTAGGGTATAAAATGGTCAGTCATTGAAAAAGTAATTGAGGCGTGAGAAACAAGGCAAAGCGAGTTTCATGGGGGATATGGCTTGATATGGAAGAATGTATCTCAATCTGAGGTACCATTGAGAAGATGGTGAGTGACAACCAGTTTTGTCAATTCATCTACAATACACAAGCTAATGGGTACAAAGCCTCCCAAAAGGCCAAGCCGTAGCCGTAGCCCACCAAGAAGGCCTCCACAGTAAAGACGAGCCCTACTTGAGAGGGATAGATCCCCCCAGCTGAACAGAGAAAACCAAGAACACGAATACTTCCGAGCCTCCATCCAGCACCAGACATCAGAATTTGATGAGGAATGCTAGGTGTAATACACACCATCTTGGGAAATATTGTCGGAGGAGAGTCCACATCATCCCAGAAAAAGGACCTAAGGCAACAAAGGCCATTACCTCCTGTTCAGAGTTCGAACTCCTCAAAGGTCGACTTGAGCAATCCTTTGGTGAGGATATTTGCTGTCTGTTCCTTGGTAGGTATATATGTCAAGCATACACTACCGTCTTCTAATTTTTCTTTGATAAAGTGACGATCAACTTCTACATGTTTTGTTCTGTCATGATGAACAGGATTTTGAGCAATGCTGACAGCAGCCTTATTATCACAATATAATCTGATAGGTAGGGAATAAGAGATCTTCAACTCCTCCAGAAGCCTTCTTAACCAAATTCCTTCACAAATACCATGGGCTAGAGCTCGAAATTCCGCTTCCGCACTGCTTCTTGCAACAACATTTTGTTTCTTACTTCTCCAGGTCACAAGGTTTCCCCAGACATAAGTACAATATCCTGAAGTAGATCTTCGGTCCATTGCAGAGCCAACCCAGTCTGCATCTGTATAGATTTCAATCATCCTTTTGTGCCCCTTTTTAAAGAAAATTCCTCGACCAGGGGTATTTTTGAGGTACTTGAGAATTCTATAAACAGCACTAAGGTGTTTTTCCTTAGGAGAATGCATGAATTGGCTAACCATGCTCACAGTAAAAGCAATATCAGGACGAGTGTGAGACAAATAGATTAATTTCCCCACTAGTCTCTGGTACTGCTCCCTATCAACATCTTCCCAGTCCTCAACTCCCATCTTGATATTAGCTTCAATTGGAGTCTCTGCCGGCTTGCACCCAAGCATACCTGTTTCTTGCAACAGGTCTAGAATGTATTTTTTCTGAGTTAAAGAAATTCCTTCCTTACTCTGAGCAATTTCCACGCCAAGGAAATATTTGAGAGATCCAAGATCTTTTAGTTCCCACTGGTCAGCTAAACATTTTTTTAAAGAGGTTATCTCCTCGCTATCATTACCAGTGACAATTATGTCATCAACATAAACGATCAGAATAGCAATTCTTCCTTTGTCGGAGTGTTTAAAAAATAAAGTGTGATCAGTCTGAGCTTGGGTGAACCCTCGTCCCTTAACAGCTTGAGTAAATTTTCCAAACCATTCTCTGGGAGATTGTTTAAGTCCATAGAGAGACTTCTGCAACTTGCACACAGAATCATCCCCTTTTTCAAAACCAAGAGGTGGATCCATGTAAACTTCCTCATGTAGATCACCATTCAAGAAGGCATTCTTAACATCTAGCTGTTGCAATGGCCAATCAAGGTTGGCGGCAAGAGATAGCAGAACGCGGATAGTGTTAAGTTTGGCAACAGGAGCAAATGTCTTCTGATAATCTATCCCATGAGTCTGAGTAAATCCCTTAGCAACTAATCTGGCCTTATACCTATTGATGCTATTGTCTGCATTAAATTACATTGTGAATACCCATTTGCAGCCAACAGTTTTCTTTCCTTTAGGTAATGTCACAAACTCCCATGTTCCATTTTTTATAAGTGCATCCATTTCTTTTAATACAACATTCCTCCATTTTGGGTCATCAAGTGCTTCTTGGATATTTTTGGGTATCCTGGTACTATCTAACATAGCGTTGAAAGCACGAAAACCTGGAGACAACTTCTCATATGAGATATAATGGGAAATAGGATGAGCAGTGCAAGATCTAGTACTTTTCCGAAGAGCAATAGGCATATCAATGTTGGCTGTACTAGTGCATTCAAGTGGGTTGCTGGAACAAGGACTCGAGTCAGGATCCTGGCAGTCTAGAGCATCTTGATGTGTTTTGCGCCTGCTGTAAAATTTTCCCCATTTTCCAAGAGGATCACAAGGAGGATCATTAGACTCAGGTATAGTTGCTCCCCCTGTTTCCTTCCCAATAACTCCCACTATTTCCAAAGGCTAAGGTAAGACAACATCATCATTTGCTTTTCCAGGCTTATCTTCATCCATACCAAGACCAATAGACTCCCCCTGAAGAGAAGTCGGGGAAAAAAAGGATTGTGTTCATAAAAGGTAACATCCATGGAAACAAAAACCTTACGGAGAGAAGGTGAGTAACACTTATAACCTGTTTGATTTGGGGAATATCCTATGAAGACACATCGAATAGATTTAGGGTCAAGTTTGGATCTGTGATGTGGAGGAATATGCACAAAAGCCACATAGCCAAATATTTTGGGAGGAAGAGAAGAAAGAGCACTGAAAGAGGGAAAAGATTTAGTAAGACAGGATAAAGGAGAATGAAAATTTAGTACCCGAGAAGGCATCCGATTAATGAGATAACAGGCTGTCAAGACGGCTTCCCCCCACAGATATTTAGGGACATGCATCGTGAATAAAAGAGCTCGAGCAACTTCAATTAGATGTCTATTTTTCCTTTCAGCCACCCCATTTTGTTGAGGGGTGTTAGGACAAGAACTTTGATGAATAATTCCATGCTGGTTTAGGTAATCTCCAAGAACTGAATTAAAATATTCAGTATCATTGTCTGTTCGCAGAATTTTGATAGAGGTCTGAAATTGAGTTTGAATCATAGCATGAAAGTTTTTTAAAGTGGATGCTGCCTCAGACTTATCTTTTAAGAGATATACCCAACATACCCTAGAATGATCATCAATGAAAGTAATAAACCAACGAGTACCCGAGACATTTTTTTCACGAGCAGGTCTCCAAATATCACTACGAATCAATGTAAAGGGAGAAGATTCATGATATTTCTTAGGAGAATAAGTGACACGAGAGTGCTTTGCAAGCTGACAACTATCACAAAGAAGGGAACTTGGCTTTTTATTGATAAATAAGTTCGAGAATAACTTCTGGAGGTAAACAAAATTTGGGTGTCCCAACCTACGATGCCATAACAAAACATCATTACAGTCATCTGATAAACATAGAGAGTGGTTCGAAAAAATCCTCTTTTCACAATGAACCTCTGTAAAATAGTAGAGCCCTTCTTCCTCTCTAGCACTGCCAATCATCATCCCCGAGTCCTGTTCTTGAAAGATACAAGCATTTGCAGAGAACTTAGCAACACAATGCAACTCAGCAGTAAGTTTGCTAATAGAGATGAGATTACAAGTAAGAGGGGGAACATGAAGTACTGAGTTCAAAATAATATGCTCGGAAAGTTTAATGGATCCCTTTCCCGCAATAGTGGAGAAATTCCCATCAGCTGTTCTTATTCGTGACGGGTGATAGTAAGGGGTATAGGAGAAAAATAAGGTTGCATTACCTGTCATGTGATCAGAGGCCCCTCAATCAAGGATCCAACGATTACTACGTTCAACATGGAATGCCATACCTCTTTGAGCAACATGACTAGTTGCCTCAGCAGGTTGAGACATCAATTTTTGAAAAGACGAATTTTCAAAATTTTCAGCGTCCATGGCTTTCTAACAACAGGTACCCTGAAAAAAAGTTCCTCCAAATACGATTTTGACCTTCAAAACAGGAAGAGGGTTGGCCACAGTGAAACAGTAATTGCTACAGTAATGAACAGTACTGCTACAGTGATGAACAGTACTGCTACGGGTCTTCTGTGGGCTGGCTCGGGATTTTGTTCTGAACCTAATGGTGGCCTTGGTTTCGTGGTTGGAGGTGTCTAGGTAAGGATTCTGGCTTGGGCAATGGCTAAAACGAAAAAAAGGAATAGGAAAATGACTTAAAAATAAATCAGAACGGGGAAGAGACTGGAATATAACCAGCTCTTGATACCATGAAGAAAAGAAGAAGTGTTTTGTCTGAATAACACTTTCTTAATTCATTGAGAGACCCAATGGGTCCTTTTATATTGAGTACAATGGGCTACCTCAACTACCTCAATAAATAAGCTACCTCAACTACTTCTACCTCAACTACCTCAAGTACTTCTACCTCAACTACCTCAATAAATAGCTGAACCTACATAAATAAATAGCAAGCAGAAAACTTTGACTTATGTACAATACAAAGATACACTAATAAATGATAAATCACAATCTAGAATATTCTACATATACCCTTATGATTCTTATTATCATCTGACTGTACTTGATCACCAATTTGACCATATGCTTAAGCTGATAAGAAACTGAAATTAGTAGTATCAAGCTGAACTCAACAACTCCCTGTCATACAGGTACTTCTACAAGGAACATGATAAAATCTTAAAATTTAAAATCCACAACGTGTTACGACAAAATTTTAAAAGGGCTTATCATGGCATGAATGAATGACCTTATTATAACATCATATTTTGGCCTGGGAAGAGAACTAACTAATGAACCAAGGTATGGGTCACAGGCAAGAGGTACCAGTACCAGTTATTATCCACCTGTGATACCCTTCAGTTTAGGTAATATTACTTTGTTCATACAATTTATTGTTGATACCATAAAACATTCACACTTGGGGAAAAAGTTGTATTTTAAAAAGCTATAGCAAAAGAATAAATAAATAAAATTAAGAGTCATATGTAATTACCAGCATAAATTAAGGAAAAGACATGCTGCAAGACTATATCAGCTTCTCCTTCATTATAAAACGAGCCTGTTCCAGCTGGGTCTAGATGCTCTCCACAACCAACTGACAGACTTCCATATGGCATTCTAGTATCGAGCAATAGCAGTGGGCACTGTGTTATCCATGTTGGCTGTATAATCAGCAAGGTCAAACTTTACATTCATGTAATAAGAATTAGTAAAAATAAATGAAAATGGAAAAATACTGACAAAGATCAATATACGTATCACAAACATCCCCGAGTAAAAAGCATAGGCAACACAAAATATAATAGAAATGCTAAGACCTTCCATAAAATGGTAACCAACAAGCAACTATTCTTTCAATTTCTATATTCATACAGTAATTGATGATCAAAATGTTTCAAGAAAAGTCTTGTGATTTTTACATCTTCAGCATTACATGTTGTCTATTGAGAAGCTTAAGCTATCAATTTTGCGTCAACTTGTTTATAAGTTGCACAGGTTACCGAAAATAAGGTTTGAGTTGTCCAATTTTAAAATATTGCTAGTGAGCCTCATATGTAACAGCCTACTCATTTGGCACTCTATTAAATAAAAAATTTAGCGCTCTCTCAGCTGGAATGTTACTCCATTCCCCTGAAGCATGAAAAGAATATCCAACAGGATTAGCTATTACCAGCCTCAGTCTCTAAGAAGGAAGTTTAATGCTTCAGGGGCTTGATCCCAGACAAGGCTACTCGTCTTCTTCCCATACCGAAGTGTTTATACCTCCAATGTACCAAAGAAAAAACATAACAGTGTCTGAAAAGTAACATCTCTAGAAATTAAGGACCAGCAACATAAAACAGTCAACAGGAAGAAGGTCTAAGTTTCTTTAGTTAGGACATGATGTATATAGAAGCCTTCACTTCAATGAAAATGGTAATATCATTTATGGGCACTATACCATAACAAAAGGAGAGTCAACAAGAAGATGAGAGAAGACGGTCGCAGAGGACTTCAACAATCCTCCGTACATCTCCTTCGAAGCCCAACTAGCAATTGCATCGTTCATACGGTATTGTGTTGTTAATCTGGTGGTGAGAATCCCTTCATGCAAAGTTGTAGCTCTCTCCAGTAGAGAGATTCCTAGACCACCCTCTAAGGCCTTTCTAGATAATATGACAGGAGCAAGTTGGCATTGATCACCAGCAAGAATACAGCGCTTTCCCTGCAATATAGGAATCCAACAAGAGGGCTCAATTGCCTGTCCAGCTTCATCTATGACAACCAAGTCAAAACTGTCAAGCCTTCGAATCAAAGGATCAGCTGCTCCAGTATTAGTGGCAAGCACAACCTGAGCACTAGATAGAACTTCAATCATGGTCTGTTTTTCCTTTTTCTTTAGAGATCTTCCCAGCTGTTTCAGAAGTTGGCGTATGCCCGCAGCTAGTGAATCATCCCTTAAACAATGACTTAGATCTTTCCTTAGGTCTGATTTCTTCCTCTCATACTCTTCTCGAAAACTTGAAAGCTTCGCATTTACAATTTCTCCCAAAGATTTTGATCCCACTGTTTTTGATATACGAGCTGGATTTCCAACGCGCACAATATTTAATCCAACATTTGAAAGCTTTTCAACCATGTTATCAACAGCTGCATTGGTTGGTGCTGTAACAAGAACCCTTTCACCTCGCTGAACAGCACATGCTATAAGTTGCTTGAGCAGACCAGTCTTACCTGTACCAGGAGGCCCTTGGATAACCAATACAGGCCGCTTCTTATTCAAACCCAGTGCAATTGTTCTCTGCTGAGAATTATCAAAGGTTTCACTTCTTAATATTCCATTCAATTTTTCTTCTGCCCAGTCAGCCAAATGATTATTTCCAAGCCATGCAACATCTTCGCCATCTCCAAACAGTGTAGCCACAACAGAAATTGAAGAGTTCTTCTTTTGTAAACCATTCTTTTGAAGCAGCATTAGGGCTTCACAGTTGCGCTGGACAAAATCATAAGAAGCTTATTAAGAGATGTATATGTACATATAAAATTAGTGAGCCAAGGAGTAAAGTACTAATGAAATTATAAAACACAACCCAGTCAAATTATATTAATCTATTCAAAACTGATCCTAGAATGTAGAATTATTTTTTAGCAGACAAAGTAGGTGGTGGGTAGTTAACACTTCTAAACATATGATAAGACCTTGGGATGCACCACCCCAAAAGCTAGCTCAAAGGGTAGGAGTGCTCAAGGCCTTATAAACCCAACATTAGTTGCCCATACAGCCAATGTGGGACTCCAAGTCCCATACCTTGCAAATGCATCCTAACATTCCACCACGTTCCGTACCCCGGCGCTCACGCGGGCTGGCTTTGCGCTAATCTTTTACTAGTCCCGGGCGAACACTGCAATGCCGGCGTCACCACCCGCGCTGCTCGATCGCAACCAGGAGATATAGTGGAAAGCTCTGATACCATTTGATAAGACCTTAGGATGCACCACCCCAAAAGCTAATTCAAAAGGTGGGAGTGCCCAAGGCCTTATAAACCCCACATTAGTTATCCATACAACCAATATGGAACTCCAAGTTCAACACTTTGCAAATGGGTCCTAACACCATACCACTGCTTATCCTTTCCATAACAGGTGGCAGAATGATGTAACGACAAAAAGTATTTGACCCTGGCATAGCCTGGTAAATAGACTCTCCAATGCTATTGATGTACAACACTGGAGCAAGGAAAAGAAAACTCACAATTATAAACACTTTCGAAATATGGCCTAAAACTACATACACCATCCTTTTTTAATCATGAAGGTAACACATGCTTCGCAAATATTAACAGAAATTATGATAACATTAACTCTGGCAGAATTTTCCAATTCAATCCTTTATGTACATATCAACGAATTTACCACCTTGTTAGTGTTTCCTGAGTTTAATACATGCTCTTTTATGATTAAAGATAAATATTTTAGAACAAAATACATAAATATCATACGTACATGACATCAGCATTTTCTAAAACCCCAATTACCTTAACAACGGAGGAGAAAATATGTGGTCCTAGCATTGAGAACTCAATGCTGCAGCCACTTAAATTATAACACATGGACACATTTAACTGCAGTTTCTTGGGATCTTAATTATAACACATCCCACGTAAGTTAACTGTCCATGTGTTATAATTTAGGAGATGTAGTGCTGAGTCCTCAATACTAACAGGACTAAAAAAAATTTTGCAACAGAGAAATGACTGTTATAGCATTAACAAGTTTAGAAGGAGATGCATATGCTTTTGTCATACCTCGGGGAAGTCTATGTAATATAAAATAGGAAAACTAGAATCAATCAATGTCCACAGCTGAACAGACAAGAGCAAAGCCATTGTGCTAGAAGTGCTCAAAGGTGACAGTGTTTCTGTCTTGTCAACTGTCACCATGTAACAGCAACTTTCTAGCAGTAAAGAATTGGTGTTTAATATTTCAGTTTCTTTGGTTAGGAAAGACAAATGCATATTGATAGTTTATAATAAATATGCTTGTTATTATTAGACTAGTTCACCTTCCCAATCAAAACAGTTGGACTAACTAACTAACTAATAGTTGACCAAAGATTTTTTTTTTTCCTTTTTGTTCGATACCATAGATTTTATTTTATTCTACTTGATTAAACAGAAATAATAGACACTCATTACAGCCTACACAAAACTTCTTAGTTAATTTCAACTTCCAAATGATTTGAGACATCCTTTCATAAATATTTCACAAATGTTTCTTGGAGCTGCGGAATGTTTTGGTTGTATGCAAGAAAACACATGATAGGTTTCAATACCTCATAAGTAAGTGTATCAGCCAGTCCTTGAATACGGTCAATGCGCACACTCTTCCCAAATAGTTTAGAGAATGTAGGATCACCATGAAGTGACTCTAAAGCAACACTAATACTATAGCCATCATCCCCAAGATTGTTCACAAATCCTTGCATGCAAGAAGTTGTAACTGCACCCCTGTTGTCACACGTTCTCACACAAACCATGTCTCCAGGTGAAAGAGTAGTAGGTGGTAACCGGTGGTTCCCTTCAACCTTGAATAGCACCAAATGCATTCCCCCCAATCCTGTTTACACAATCAAATGTTATCGTACCAGAATGATTGGATTTAGCCCTTCATCGTTACTGAAGAGGCCATAAGTTAAAAGACTAACTTGATAAGATTTGCATCCTATGCAAGCTTCACATCAGTTAAGCCTAAAAGTTTATGCATCGTAAAGAGAGATGTTCGAAATATAGCTTATTGATTCGTTTAGGATTTTATTACTTAAGTACATAGACATCCACCAGATCACATTGTAATGGTGATTAACATCCTAAACCTAGATGAATCAAGGTTCGTCCAGTTTTGAGTCTACCATCCACATGCATCTACTTTCTAATCTCTACAATTTATATTTTTTGAAACCATTATTAGATACTGTATTATCAGTGCACAACTACTTGTATGGAAAATCCTTGACTTTTTATTGTAGATATTAATGACTAATAAGTGAAAACAGAGATTTGTCAAAGCAAATATAAGATGTTTAATATTAACCATGTCTAGAATATTAATGAATTACCAGTACTTTACCTCATATTATATCATATAACTCATAATCATGTCAACAATTCAACTTCTTTTACAGCACATGCACATAATTAAGGAGAGACTAAATTGCATTTGCCTGAATAATTCAAAAGAAAATAATAGGAAAAAGGAGAAGACCTGTAGAGGTACTGATGGCATTTAGATTACAAATGGTGTCACAGAGTTCTTGCTGTGGCTGGCTATGACTAACCAAGAACTCAATCGGTTTTGTTGAATCAGAAGTATCATCTGGTGGTTTAGGAACAGCATCCAGTTCTTCCTGAGTAAACTCCAACTCAGCATCCCTTTCAATACGGAGTAATTCTGACATGCGGTTGGTGAACTCATCAATCCTGTGCTGTATTGCTTTGACCTTTTCTATGTCCATTCCTAAAACTCCTTGGACAGTCTTGGGCTGCGCTATCTTTCTCGCAACTGCTCTATGCTGAGCTGCAAAATGAACCATTCTCAATCTCAGCCCCTCTTTAGTTTATACTACTATTGGAGCAATGCAATATTAAAAAATCACTTCCCATTAACCCCCCCGACCAACAAGGGCAGGGACTATGAAGCACCGATACTTCTAGTTTTTTTTTTCAACGAATCGGATACGCGTATCGGAAACGTATTGTATCGTATCGATGAATTAACAGTCGTATCGAGAACGTATTGGGAACGTATCAAAAAACGCCGTGTCAGAGTCGGTGCTTCATAGGGAAGGGATATGGACAATCCTCGTAATCGAACCTGTGACCTTTCAGTTACTACGAAGCAGCTTTACCACTGCTCTAAGCTCGTCCTCTTTTTAAAAAAGACTCCCCAATTAAACATCGACTGACGAGAGTAGAGGTGGAGTCAATCATTGTACAAACCTAATTATTACATATTTGTGAATAGACTGTTGCTTTTCGAATTCAAATCGATGACGTTTCAGTCAATAAGGAGCAGCTTTATCACTCCTCGCCCTCTTTTTTAGAAAAACTATCCATTAATAAAAAATTATTTTTAATACGCAAGTACGAGCTGTGAGTTGAGCCGGACGGACGGCGGCGACAGCCCCTTTAACGAGAGTAAAGACAAGGATAATCCTTATACGCAGCCTTACCATTACATCATACCTGTTTCCTGTGATCTTTCGATCACAAAGAAGTAATTTTATCACGGCTCTGGGTTCGCCCCTTGAGCAATGCAATATTATAATAACAAAACAACAACAAAAAATTGTTTAGTGAGGAAAAAGAGAAACACCTGAATTGGCGAGCTCCTTAAGCAGTTTCCAAGACTGAGTGTCACGCCAATCCTGGACCAAGGATTTATTCTGTAGATCTTGGAGAACATCACGAAGCTCCCTCTGAAAGTGGTCGAAAAGAGTGGGATAATGAGCACAAGCCTTCAAGCAGATAACTTCAAGTCCAAGCGGCATAGGAACAGCATTCAAATACGGTTGAGCCTGTATTACAAAAGTGAGACCAGGTCCCATTCTCTGCCTCAACTCGGAGAACTCAAACTCACCCTCTAACTCAGCTGAAGCAAAATCAGAAGCCATAGCCCTCATGCTATGACGAATCCACCTCACTACACTCTTCCCAAGTTCCTTCCACCCAATTGGGTCTCCATTCTCATTGGGTTCCCTTTCCTCTTGTTTCTCTCTCTTCCCTCTTCTTCTTCTCCCCTTGGCGTAACTCGGAAGCTGCTTAATTTCACAGCTGATGTTAGTTGCATTTCGAATGAGACGATGGGTGCCGAATGAAGGTGACAAAGAGCACATTGGAGACATGGTATATGCATTATTATTACTACGGTTTAAAAGACAGAATGAACCAAATGAAGAAAAGGGCACATAAGAGGCGTTATAACGGAAAAGCTCACTTTTTGCTGGGATTCTACCGCAGAAGAAGCAAGTAGGTACTGTTTCCATTACTATAACAATTCAGAATATTATGCTCAATTGTGTCATTGAGTAATGGTTAATACATATTTATTTATTTATTTTATATATATATATATATATATATGTGTGTGTGTGTGTGATAGACAAAGAAGGGCTTTTGAATTTGAACCGCGCACTGCATTTGAGGCGAGGAAGGAAAGTGGTTTATTATTTATTCATTTGGGACAGAAGAAAAGTTGCAGAAAATGAGAGATTTTTTTTATTTTTTTATTTTTTTGGAGTTAAGAATCAGAGATTTTTAATGAAAAGGAAAGTAAGAGAAGATTGGTACCAGTAAGAGTAACCCCTTTCAACAAAAATACAACAAAGCCAAACAAACATCCAAGTTCCTCTTCTGATTGGCTGCTAAGATTTTGGGGCGTGGCTGCTTGTAGCCCTTCTACTTCTTGCTGTGACGTGTTCCTTTCTTGTTCTAATACTTCTATTGTTTTCTTGTTTTTTTTTTTTATATTTTTAAAATAATAATAAATACTCGTTTCATATTTGACATATAAATGACGATTTTATTTGATATTTTATTTTGTAGAATAAGCATTTTTATTTTTATTTTAAAATGTAGTTATATAGTTTTAGGAAGAAGTGTGTGTCAATGATGTAAAATTGTGTCATTTTAAAGGATGTAAAGTTGTGTCATTTTAAGAGAGAGAAAGAGATAGATAAAGAAAGAGAGAGAGTTAACAAAAAAATAAAGGTGTGAGTCTTATCTATTCGTGAGAGTGAAAAGATATAAGTTATGTCATTTAAAAGGATAAACATTTTTCTCATAGTTTTAATCATCAATATTAAAAGGTGGAAATGCTGATTTTGATATTCGTTTAAATGATTTTTTCTTTTTTTTTTTGGAAATAGTTTAAATGATTTTTTCTTCTTCTTAATATTAACTTTATCTAAATTAATAGTTATTCATATAGGAATATTTCAACCGGTTGACATGTTGCTTTTGAGTTTCCTTCTATATGGCTAGTGATTGTTGATAGAAGATTCTGTGATGGGCAAATGGATGGTGGTGTATGTGTAAGTCGATGAATAATGGTGGTGGAATATATAATTTAGGATTTATAATTGGGTGGTTGGTAGCTTAGCTGGACTGCATCATGGGTCCAGTACACATGCCTAGAATAGTTGCCCCTTTAACTCGACATTTTTTTACGGGAAAAAAATTAAATAAAATTAAAATATTGCTATTTTAATAATTATTTACGAAAATATAATTATTTTAAAATTAAATATGAATTTATTGCATGAGTCAAGTCCATGAGGCATGATCTAAGAGAGAGACACGCCTTGCATGAGACGTGAGTTATGAGGAGAAAGACATGCCCGGATTGAAGCATAAGTGAGGAAAGATACATGCCTATTGGAAACCACTTTGAAATGTTTAATCTTTTAGTAACTTTTAAATTTTCAAATTTAAACTTGATAGGTTGGAAAAAAGTTCAACATTCTTAGGTGGCAAACAACTGTATTAATATTTCATTACTTTTTACATGAGTAATTGTTAAGCCTATTAATAATATCATTACTTTCTGCATCAGAAATTATTAAGTCTATTAATAATATTTATTATTATATCCATTTGGATTAATTAATTTTTTGGATCTACAAACGAACCAATGATTATTAGGATTAATAATACCACTATTTCACAAATTACAATTGCAATAGTATTTCAGTTCAAGTTAATTTATAAAATTATGATTTAAATATCTTTATTTTGATATCAACAAAATGATTTTGTTATCAATACTTTTAAACTATATATATTTCAGTTAAAGTTATTTTATAAAATTATGCTATTCTTATTAAAAAATTATTCAAGTAAAAATATTAAATGCAAGTTATGTATACTAGCAAATATATCATATATTATATGTATATTTTTAATTTAATACAAAAATTTAAGTAAAAAAATATTTAAGATTTTGGGAGAACAAGAAGTTTTAATATAAAAAGTACAAATTTTTTAATTGAAAGTACATGCTAATGTAAAATTGCTGACAGTTAGAGATGACAAAATGAGTTAGGTCTCGAGGGCCGGCCACCCTACCCGTCAAAATATTTTTATATATGTATATTTACTGTCTAACAAATCCGTCTTTGTGTAGCTAAGATCATTGGATTTACTGTTGATATAAAATGCTGACATTTAAAGGTGACAAAATGGGCTCGGCCCGGAGGGTCGGCCCATCGCATCATGTAAAAACTAAATTATAAAAATTTAATCACTAAAAAAATGAATCTAAATAGGAGAAATATTGATGTTTTTTGAAAATTAAAATATTTAATGATTATTTTAATTTTTGTCCAAAATAAACGGAATAAGTTTTTTTTAACTGATACTATTATTACACTTACAATAAAAAAAATCAGTCATGATATCGAATTGTGGAGTAATATCAGCCAATTCTTTGGAAAGTAAAACCAAATAATTAAATATATATACTTAAACCCAAAATAAAATTACACTTACGGTTATATTTAATTTTTTAAAAATTGTATGTGACTTTAAAATATAAATCAAGCATAGCTTATTATTTTTAAATATATAAAGGGAAAAAAGTATCTAATGTTACTTTAGATAACTTTGTCTAATGTTTACCGAAACGACGTCATTTTTGGGTTAAAAAATTAAAAAATTAGAATGATAAAGACTATTATAACCCTGAAATAAATTAAAATTACAAAAATACCATGATTTCCGCCCCAAAACGATGTCGTTTCGGTGAACATTAGATAAAGTTATCTAAAGTAACTTTAGAAAAAACAAACCCATATAAAAATATATTACATGCTGACATAAAATATTGACAATTAGAGGTGGTAAAATAGGCTCGGCTCAGAGGGCCGGCCTACCCTACCTGTCAAATAGAGAGTTCGCCCGCCAACACATTTTTTTTTATATTTACTGTCTAACAAACTCATCTTTGTGTGGCTGATGATTGGATTTACTGCTGTAAATATTTCAGAAACAAGCATATAACTAATCCTATTCAGATTAAATACGATGCAATAAATATATGCTTATATACATATATATATATATTTTAATTTAGCGAATAATTATATTTTAATTTAGTGAATAATTATTTATATTTATGCAATTAAGCTAATGCATGGTCTTTTGATATTAGCACATTCAACTTTAACTATGAAATGTTTGTTATAATATTAAACGTACTAAGTCAAATATTTTTCAACTCTTCATCTAATATATATGTCACAACTACAGAAAATATAGATACATAGTAATCTAAAGGCAAATATAAGAACTTTTTTTTGTCTGTGGATAAATATGAAAACCTATTGTATGCTGATATAAAATGTTGATAGTTAGAGGTGGAAACCCCGCCCGCGAACACATTTCCCCCCTTATATTTATTGTCTAACAAATAAGTCTTCATATGGTTAAGATAATTAGATTTATTGCTGTAAATATTTCAGAAAAAAAATCTAAATAACATGAACAATCATATTATGATAAATAAAAGTCCATCTAAGCAAAATGAACAATCAACACAACATTTACTTTTTATTTTCTTCATGTATATTAATTGATTTTATTTTGTAGCGAATTTTGTGTACGATTGAATCAATAAGACGTGTAACATCCTCTATTTTACTATTATAAAGAATATCACATTATGTTTAAATAATAAATAAATAAATAAAATATACAGTAGTATAAATATTTTAAATATTGATTTATACAGCAAACTATACTCAGTTACTTGATACATGATTCCTGGTCAAGTACATATATTTTACATTCTAAATATTTTACATCAGAGTCTACTTCCTAAACTGCGTTACATCAAAATAGTACATCTATGTTACATCCTAACTACTTAAAGTTATAATTTATACACTGCTTCCATTTCATCTGATCAATTCTATATGTAAATGCTTCCACTCTATCTTGATAAAATACAGCAACCACTTGTTGATTTTCTAGTATAATATAAAACTCTGATCGATCTTCATAAAAATAGACAAAAATTCCCCAATTCTTGCCGGTAAAACACAGACTAGGCATGATGACTTTCTGGAGAGGTTAGCATAAAAACAAACACATGTGAGAAAAATCTCAGTAATATTGAGATTTCTTTAACAATAACCACTCCAGCCGTAATAACGAAAAAATACCATTCTCTCAAATAATTTTATAAAAATGAAGTAATATAAAAAAAATTACAAATAATAAATTGTGTAATATTTAACTGAAGCTAATTAAATCCCAATTTTTTTTTCTTTTTTGTGGGTCTATGTATGTGAAATGGTCGGATTGGCGGAGCTCAAGGCAGATAAGGCGTCCCTTACCCTATAACCGTCTGATCCCAAGCCTTTATAGGTCAGTTCACAACATAAATCATACAGTTAAGATTTACACATTCTCTTAATATTCTTTTGGTACCAAATAATTCATCAATAGAACAATCAATTTTAAAATAAGTAAAATTCAGAACTAAATAAAAATAAAATTAAAGGTAGGAATGTAAAAAATTTAAGAAAAGAATTTGGCAGAGTAACATTATAATAACAATTTTCTAAAAATTCAACTAAAAAAAATAGTGATAAGAAGAAAAATGAGAGAATATTTTTATCTCTCAATATTACCTTCATCCGATTTGATTTAATTTCTTTTCTCGATTTTTCTTTCCATTGTATTGATTTCTCTCTTTTCTCTCTTCTTTTCTACTCTCCCCTCTCACGGGTTCTTTCTTCTTCTCTTTACTTTCGTTTTGTTTCTTTTGTTTTAGACCCTCTGTGCACTCCCTTTTCCTTAGGTGAAGATGTATATATATATATGGCTAATTGTAATCATTACATAATTAGAATCTAATGAATACTTAACTAAATAATTATTACTTTAAAAAAATCTACATTTCATCTTTATCTTCCTATTCTACGTGTCTCCCTCTGCCATGCCATGTGTTTATTGTTTCTACCATATGTTTGTAATATATATT